GGAAGACTTCATAACACTTAATGATTTATAATACTCACCACAGAGCGTAACAGTGAATGCATAGACATGGTCTGCTGTGCCGAAACTCTTTCTCATTAGTTGATAAAGGCCCTCATGCTCACGTCTGATGTTCTTGATGATCAGTGATCCATTACTTTTATCAACCTCCAGTCTGTCTCTGAATCTCCTATTAGGACCATTATATGGAAAGATCTGTCCACCTTCCACTTCAGCTATGGGAGACTCCTCACCTTCAAACCTCCATTCGATCTCATCAGTCTGTATATCTGCAGCACACTGTAGAACAGCTCTATCTCCCTCACAGAAAAAACTTGGCTCCCCTGCATATCACAGAATAAAAATTAAAAAAACACTATAAGAAGAGATTCAGTAAAATATTGTCAGATACAATGAGGCAGAAATATTCTGCATATATAAGAATAAGAACAAACTGTAGATGCAAATAAAACATGTTAATAACTATACAATATGGACAAAACAATATTTTAATAAAAGAATATAACTGGATGTACTTTATCCCTTACTTAAAGGGATAGTTCACCCACAAATTAACATTTACTCACTATTTACTCTCCTTCGAGTAGTTCCAAACCTTTATGAGTTTCTTCCTTCTGTTAAACACAAAACAAGATATTTTGAAGAAAACATTGTATAAGCATTGACTTTCATAGTAGGAAAAAAACAATATGGAAGTCAATGGATACCAGCTTCAAAATATCTTCAATTGTGTTGAACAGAAGGAAGAAACTCTTTTGGGTGAACTATCTTTTTAATCTGCATGGTCAATTATTCACTCTAATCATGACTGGAGCAAAGAAAACACAAAATGAATGACATTACACTAACACACTATATTAACTCTTAAAATTCAGTGTAAATCAGTTTTTTAAAAGCACAAATGACTCACCTTTGATAAGAACACTGAATTTCTTTTCAGTGGTTCCACTTCTGCTGATGATCTTCAGCTTATATTCTCGTATGTCTACAATAGTGATGTTGTTGATGGTCAGAGATCCAGTCTTCTCATTCAGCACTAGTCTGTGTCTAAATCTCTCATCGTGGTATGTTATCTTTCTAGCTCCTCTGGTCATTTTAGCAATTAGACGGTCTTGATCTCCAATCATCCACTGTATTTCATTATTTCTCTGTATTTCAATATAAGGTTTTAGTGTGACAGATTCTCCTATCTTTCCGTCAATAAGGAGCTCTTCATGTATGATAGCTGCAAAAAAACATTTACAGATCAACATGTCAATGAGTTTTTTCTCAGAGAGCAGAAGCCTATGGTGACTGAATTACAGGATTAGCTTCACACCGATCATCATCTTTCTACGTAAACTCATTGATCCTGAGTTTATAAGTGCACGCACATGCAAACAGCCAATCATGTGCCTTGAAACAAAGATATTTTACATTGCATGTAAAAATGTAATTGACAACTAGCAAGAGGGCAAGCACCATTCACAGGCAAAGATAATAGGGTTAAAATAAGAATTTATACTCTTAATTTATACAGCATTATGAAAAGAGCTGTTGATGAAAAGAGGAGAGCTAAAAGGAAACAGCTTGCTTTATATGTGTAAGTGAAGATGTAAAGCAGGGATGTCAAACTCTATCCCTGGAGGGCCGCAAGCCTGCACAGTTTAGTTCCAACCCTGTTCCAACACTTACCTGTAGGTTTCAAACAAGCCTGAAGGACTCAATTAGTTTGATCAGGTGTGTTTAATTAGGGTTGGAACTAAACCGTGCAGAGCTGCGGCCCTTCAGGAATTGAGTTTGACATCCTTAATGTAAAAAGTATAGACCTTTTTCATAGAATGCAAAATTATCCATGATGCTTTGTGTGTATGGCTAAGGAGGATGCTTCAAACTTCCGGTCGGCAGCTTGATGTGTATAAAGAGTCACATTTGGACAGCAGTAAACAACGGTTTTATTCTACTTTACTTGCTTTTAAAGGGCACCTATGGTGAAAAATCTACTTTTCAAGCTGTTTGGACAGACATGTAAGTATAGTGTACAGACCGTCATATTGGGCTGATATAAACACACCCAGTCCATTTTTTTTTATTTAACAACATAAAAACGGTGGACCAATTGAATCGGTGTTTAGATCGACTGCAACTTGACGTAGGAGTGCGGTCCCCCCGCTCAATATTGATTGACAGGCACGTCACCAAGTTTGTTGATTCACGTCCGCCATTTTCAGCATGAGTCAAAGCGATGTCACTAAAGGAACACCCTTGCTCTATTTTTAGATGTAAGGCTCATTGGGCTCAACACAAGATCAATAATCTCCACATGATCGCTCTAATCAGAATTATTGTTTGCACCTTTTGGTAGGTTCGCAAACGTGTACTTTTCATTGCATATACCTTAAACTTTAGCCGTTCACATTTCTCACGTTCACAGAAGCTCCCTGTGACCTTAACTAGGTGCAGCTCGAAAAGTGAAAGTACGTTGCCTCGTGTGTGCGTCCCTCCATTGGGAATAAAATAACGAACTTGCCTGCAGGTCGCACACCAGCAGCGCCGTCGCCCACGCAGCGCCATGCATTTTAGAATTTTAAACATAGTTTTCTATCAGGGTACACACACCGGCAATTCAAGTCGGCAGCTGTCCGCAGCGCCCAGCCACAATTCGGGACACTTCATGTTTCTGCCCCGCCACAGAGCGACATCTGAATAGTTTCGTTTTAAATAACATGTAAATGTGAGTGTCTGAGTGTGTTGTGTCGAGGCTCTGGTGCCTTAGTCAAAGTTAATTCAGTGTGCGTGGTTATTATTCTCGGTGTACAAGCTCGACACTTTAAACTAGCACACAGTTGGCTGTAAAAACTAGACAAAGACACAAATGATTGTGTACTCTCTGCTTGGTCTGTGTCCGAGTCGTACATGTACAGCTGAATGCTCATCCTCTCACTCAGTTTGCTTCTCTCTCTGTCTGCCTGCCTGTTGCAAACACAGAGCGGAAGAGCTCTTGGCTCCGCCCCCTTGTTATATTTGACGGAATTTAAAACTAATTTTCATGTGTAGCAACACACCCCTAAAACAGCGAGCTGTGTACACGCCCCCAAAATAACACGTTTGAACACATTAAAATTAAAAAAATCTGAACTGTGTGTTGAACTGAACCTAAACTGGCACACTCAGAAGAACCATAATATTAATATTAAATTTTAAAAAGGGGTAAACTATGTGCCCTTTAATGTCTTTGAACTAATACTGCTGTCGATCAGCACCACCTCCTGGACTGATTATTTAAAAGATGCGATCTTATGGGAATTAAAAACAGCTGCAAGTGATTTCAGCTTATCATCAAACAGCATCTGTGCCATATAAACGGAGCTTCGTCATCGCTAAAGTCATAATTTTCTCTTTTTTTCAAATATATAACCAACCCAAACCCAAATATTCATCATAATGTTTTACACACGCACTTTCACAATCTAAGTTTTGGATCACAAAAACAATACATAAGCCACTCAAAACAGAATTGACACCCATTTTGGATCAAGATTTACCAGTTGTAAACTATGTAAACTGAAGTTCTAAGCATCCTACCGGAAGACGCTGGTCACTATGGCACCCTCCATACAGCAACGAAGAAAAAGGTCTATAGCTGATAATGTGTACTGTATAGGTATACAGAGACTACAAATTTAAAAAAAAAAAAAAGAAAATAATATAAAAATAATAAACACTACAATAGCAAATGTCTACTGGATTACAAATATAATAATTATACATTATCTCAAATAATTATAATAAATAAAAAACCTCATTAAAATCATCTGATTTAATATTTAAAAGTGACCTTTAATTTGCAGCAAGAGGATTAGGAGTGGCTTCATTGCATCATAGATGTGTCAAAGTTGATTGCTTACAGTCTCTAAACCAGAACATATCCTGCCCCAGAGAAGGTTAGCCATGTAGTGCAAGATAACATGAAAACAAAGAGTGATCTAAGCTGAGCTACCTTCATGGTACTTAAATCCAGAATTGGTGCAAACCAAACTTAAATTTAACTTGCTAGCCAGCTAACCTGCCTTTACGGTACAGGCCTCTGATCAATATAACAGAATATAAATTCTGCTGGAAGAAACAAAATCCAGAACTGAAACTGAATCTTAAATATTTTAACAGGTGTAAAAACCATGAGATCAGGATTATATACAAATGCTAAATACTGCAGTGACAGAGCACATCTCATCTGTATATCCTAGAGTTTAAGACCATTAAATCACAGAAAAAAAATGTTTCATGAGGAAACACTGAGATGATCACTGCACTGAAAGACACGAGATCCTCACCGTTAATGTAAACAGTGAATGTCTTGTACGTGGCTTCTCCTCTGCTGATGATCTTCAGTTTATAAAGTCCAGCATGTTCATCTCCAATGTTATTGATGGTCAGAGATCCAGTCTTCTCGTCCATCTTCAGTGTGTCTCTGAATCTCTCATCAGGATATATTATCTCTCTGGTGTTGCCAGTCATTTTAGCAATCAGATCATTTTGAACTTTAAACAGCCACTGTACCTCATCCTCTCTCTGTATTTCAGCATCAGCCTTAAGAGTGACAGATTGTCCACAACTCACTAACATTTCCTCCTCTTCGTGTGTGACAGCAACACAGAAAAACAGAAAGAAAAGGATGGCATTAGCTCAAGCAGACAGTTTTCTGTGTTTCGACTGAGATAAAAACTTACAGTACAAGATCTGCTATAAATAAAAATATCCACGATAAATACTGCTTAAGGCAACATCCAGAACTGACGTTCTCATCATGTGCAGAAACGGCTAGCTAGATCATGATTATTCATAAACACTAAATACTGCAGTGACACGAGTTTTAGATGATTAAACCACAGAAAAAAGATTAAAAAATAAAAATACATGTGGAAGAACAGTGATGATCACTGCACAGAAAGACTGCAGATACTCACCTTTAATATGAACACTGAATTTACTGTTTGAGGTTCCTCCGCTCCGCTTGATTATCTTTAACCTATAATCACCAGTGTGTTTACGTCTGATGTTCTTGATGGTCAGAGACCCAGTCTCCTTGTCCAGCTCCAGGCAGTCACTGAATCTCTTTTTAGGTCCACTATATGTCTCTCCAATCCCTTCAATTATTTCAGCTATTAGGAAGTTTTCATTGCTAAACCACCACTGGATCTCATCACCTTCAAGTAGTTTAGTTTCAGTCTTTAAAGTCACATTTTCTCTCTCTGCTGTATTTATTTTTTTTTCTTCATGGGACACAGAAGCACATGAAAAGAGAGAAAATAGATTGTAATGAGTCAGTAAAGCTTCACTGGACATGAAGAGACAAAAACTGTCAGCAAGAACAAACTGCAACTTTTAATGTCAATGTTACATGTTAATAATCTTTCATAATTTGAATGACTTTATAAACCATCTGCAGCCATTTACAATAATGTATTGAATGATTCGGATTTTTGCTTTCCAATCCGTCTCATCATGGACCAACGTTTATCCTTTTCTCATCATCTTGTTTCTCATAATTTTTTTTTTATTAAACATAATTATTCGATTATTTGAATGAGTATTTAACTGTGAATTGATTTTAATTAAAGAATAAGTTAACACATTGCTTAATATAATAATGTTTAGTGCTTTTGCCTGTTTCTTTAGAACTATTTTCAGAAGCCACCAAACTGTGTCAGAGGTCACGGAGAACTTGAGTGGAACTGAGGGCTGAGCACTGGAATCAACTGTTTCTATTGTTATTTCTAGTAGTTAATACTATCTAAAATGTCTAAAGTGATTTTGCTATTTTTACGGTTACTTCTTTTTAAGTGATTCCACTTTTATTCATAATAGAATTTGTATAGTAAGAATATAACTGCCTGAATGTAGATTATACCGGTTTTTAACCAGTTTTGATAAAGACGGCTGAGAGTACACTCAGCCTTGGATATGAAACAGATTGTTCTTTAAGTGTGTGTGTTCTATTAGATTTGTAAGAGGCTAAATTATCATATGCATTTGTTTATATAACAAAACATGTCTTTTTGACTCAAGAAGGTCCATACTGACTACAAAGGCAGATACTGATAAGATCAGGGCCTGTTGTGTGGACTTTGGGGGTTTTATGATGTGGTCATATGTCGATTGGTCAGTTTGAATGTCTCAGCGTTTGGGCTTTAGTCACATGGTCAAGAAAGATACAAAATAGGTTGTAAACTCAGGCTCTGTCTCTTTTCCTGCCCCCTCTTTTCCTGCTCTGCTCCTCTCCTCCTCTCCTCCTCTGGAGTCTATCTCCGTTGACTCTACTGCAATCAGGCCAACTTCTGAGCCTGCTCTCTTTGTCTCTCTCTCTCCCTACCCCTGTGTCTGTCCATCTAACTCTGGTACCATAATTTTACATTTAAGCTGGGTACAATTTATATCATATGTTTTATCATTTCATATAAATTATCATTTTATACAGTTATTTTGTAATTAATTCAGTTGTAACCATAGAGAATTATTGTCATTATATCATCTCATTTTTAAGTATTTGTGAATTACTTTTGATTTAACATGAACACTTAATTATTTCATATTGCAATACAATACAATCACATAATATCAACGCTCTCCCACATTTATAGTTATTAATACCGCCCTTATTTCCGTTTTTGGTATGAGATTGCAGAAGAATGGTTTGACTAGAAATGTACAGTTTTTTACCATCATGCTGATAAATTTTTAGTCGCTCGGCAGAACTACAGTTCGCACAGCTGTGGTTAAAACCACATTCTTACAGAATCTTCGATCCCACTTTATATTAAGTGTCCTTAACTACTATGTACTTACATCAAAAAATAAATACAATGTACTTACTGTGTTCATAATGTATTTGAGAACACTTGTGGTGCTCTTGAGTTGGAATAGGTATAGGGTTATGGACAGGTTTGGTGGTGTGGGTAGGTTTAAGGGTGGGTTAAGGTGTAGGGAATGGTCAGCAGTGTATTTAAAAATGTAATTACAGAAGTTAATTACAGATGTAAATATATAAAGGAATTTAATCAAGCATAAGTACACAATAAATACATGTATTTACACAATAAGCACATTGTAACAAACCTTTAATTCCTGTGTAAGTACATATTAGTTAAGGCCACTTAATATAAAGTGGGACCGAATCTTCTAACAATATTTTGTACTTTTTCCTCACAAATTTATAATTTAGGATGTATAAAAAAAATTCATGTAACATTAACAATTAATTGCTTTTCTCCTTCTTGTAGTTTGCGAGGGCGTACTCTCACTATGTACAGTTGCCTTGAACCAGGCCAAAGCACGCTTGTACTCCTTCCCATCTCCCTCTACGTGCTGCACTCGCATTACATTCGGGCCTGGGCACGCTTACGTCATCAATGATGCGCTGGTCAGAAGCGCTCTCGCTCAGCACAGTGGAGATTTCTTCAGTTATATCGTTGTTTAAGTCGTTTGATATGCAGTGACACAGTCAAATATTTCGCTGAACAGATCAGCCACTTTCGGCACTCATAAACAATCATAAAGTCCTCGTGCTGCAGGAATTAGGAGGTTTGCTTAAAGATTTCGGCCTTCGGCACATTTAGCATTTTTGGCCTTGCACTTTGCCAGGGTCGGCCAAGTAAACCGTGCCTGAGCCCGATTCAGAGCACTCACACTTCTCAAACAATCCGGGAAACGGGCATGGGCAAGGGTTCGGATAGCATAGTGTGAGTAGGCCCTTAAAGGGCCATGAAACCCCCTGTTTCAGGAGGGTGTTTTCACACCTCTATTTTGGAAAAAAGTCAGGAAAGTGGGTGTGTCTAGCTCTGTTTAGGTGGGAGTGTCGGGGGAGGGAAAGAGGGAAGGCTTTGAATAAAAGTGGGAGTTACCGTTTGGGCACATGCTAATTTTCACCGAGCCTAAACACACAGACGCAGGGGAGAAAGACAGTGACTGTGTTTAATGGCAGTAACACTGTGGAATGTTTAATACCGCACATTGTATAAGAGAAAAAAAACTCTGCATTTCTCTGTAACTCAGATGCACTCGGTAGTTCAGAAAGCCATGTGTGTGTAGACTATGCTGTAACAAAGTACAGCGAAAATTCAACACGACGGTCAGTAATAGTTTAATTGCGGTGCTGACATGTTTACACTCAGAGAGCAGCATTTACAGAGCATCTTTCAGCCCATTATATTGTAGTGATATTAACGCCCTGTAAACTTTAGTAACTTGGAAATCATTTTGACTAAGGCCTGTTTTTAAACACTGAAAGAGTACTGCTGATGATACGAACTAACTTTGCCATCTGAATAAACAAACAAAGACCACTAATCGCTTACCAAATCTGTAGAGACGGGACAATCAACACCAATTGGAGCCGCGTCTTTTTTAAAAGGAGACAAGCGGCAAATCCAAATTTCACCATTTTCAGATGGGAAAAGCTCTCGGGTAAAAAATGTTCTGTATAAACGCACTGTTGTCACGTGCACTGTAATCCACACGTGAGTCCACCTGCGCTCTCATAGCGGGAAAATGAAAACAAAACCTTTGTTGCAGCACATTTAAAGATTAAACACTCATGAACAGTGTCACCAAACAGTTCTTGTACTTCCACTCCACTTGTTTGCCATCTGAACACAGTTTTAGGTAAAAACAGTTGCGCCTCATATGCAATAGAGCATGCTGATTGGTTTGAGCCAAGTTTTCTCATGAATGAATGTTGCACACTCAGAGATGTCACAAAGTACTCCCAGGTACAGACAGAAAATCTCGACGCTGGAATACACACAATGATCTAATCGCAGTGACGCAGCTTAAAAATATTTGTTTCAAACCGGCTAAAATCTGTGGTCTTTGATTGTCAGCGCTTAATGCCACAGCAATCAGATTATCTCTCCAATAAAGTTCTGTCAGTTTCAGAAGATTTCAGACACCCAGCGTGAGATTAGCTGTGATCAAAGAACCAATAGGAGCATGTAATCTGACGACTAAGTTTAAACCTCCAAATGTTTCCCTCTGCTTTTATGAGTGAAGTGTTGTTTTTTATTTAGTTTATTTATAGTAAAGCACACTTTGGTAGTTGTAAAATGCTTTATAAATAAAAGTTTGAATGGAATTGAATATTAATGTACACCATATTACTAAACTAGTCTTTAAGTTCTTCTAAACCTGTATAGGCTCTAAACCTGTGTGGCTTAATACAGCTTTACAGAAAAGTATGAAAACATTTACAATTGTCAAAGTTTTGATTATTCTTTGTTTGAATGTTTGTAATTATACTGCTGCTTCCTTCTTAAAACCTAAAAAAAATCTGAATAAAAGTTACAGAAAAAAATAGAAACTTAATTTTTTGATAATGAATTTTGGAAAATATTTTTTTTATTAATAAACGCGTATGGCTTTATACATATTTAATATTATATTTGCAATAAAATCACAAACATTTTGCTGAAATGGTCTTGAGAAAGGCCAGTGTCAAAACATATGAACCGAAGATTCTAATGTTCATAGAAATTGAAAAGGCAAACACACAGTTATTGAGTGAGTTCAAAGAAAAGTAAATATGAGCTGCATAATGTTGCTTATTACAGTGAACACTAGACAGGGGTCACTGCTGAATATGTGAACAGCAAACAGACTTTAGGAGATTATTACCCCAGTAACTTTAGCAGTGAACACTGGTGTCAAAATAATATTACGATGAGCTAAAAAACCTCACATAAATAAAGAGCATTACATAAACTTAGATAAATGAATTATATAAATCAAAGTCTGAGACAATATAGAAGGGAATAAAATAGGTTTCTATAAATTTGTAATGAACTATAAATGGATTCTTTCATTCAAAATCCACATCATTTAGGTCACAACTTCATATTAAATCATTATAACCATTTTCTTTATATAATATACTATGCATCTTCATATAGTCAAGTGTTCATTCATTTTCTGTCGGCTTAGTCCCTTCAGGGGTCGCCACAGCAGAATGAACCGCCAACTATTCCAGCATATGTTTTACACAGCGGATGCCTGTCCACCCGCAACCTAGTACAGGGAAACACCCACACACACTTGCATTTACACACACAATCATACACCACAGCCAATTCAGTTCCCCTACAGCCCATGTATTTGGACTAGGGAAAATGGAGCACCCGGAGGAAACCCATGCCAATAGTGATGGGAGAACAGGCAAACTCCAACTGACCCAGCCGAGACTAAAATCAACAACCTTTTTGCTGTGTGCTAACCACTAAGC